GGAGCCCATGGGGAAATGTCAACAAGCAAACTGAGGAAGGATTGGAACGCATAAAGGAGCAACAGAAGGAGTTCACCAAACTCTTCAAGAGCTTTGCCAAGCTCGTGCGTGACCACCTCGACTCAAGAACATTTGTTGCCTTTGAGCTTTCCCGTCGCTGTCGCTATTGGCATTGGCCGTCGGTGTTGGCTTTCATCAAACGCCACAACTTGCAAGGATACAACTTCGATGGATGCATGTTTGGTGTGCGAGATAATCACGGTAATCTTATGCGTAAGAGTTGGCACATATGCACAAACCTTCATGAGCTTGCATGTCTTGAGCAATACATGTGTACACATGATCACACTCATGGGCAAAGTAGAGGCAAGTCATCGAAGTGTGCTGAAGGTTACACGTTTGAGTACACTGATCTTGTTCACCGCTGCTTCAAGCATAGCAGCTCAAGTCATTCAGCCGCCGTCGCGCAGCGCGCCCTGCCAGCGATCATTGTTGATCACACCATGTCGGCTGACCAAGACATGTGCAGGGAAACCTTGGACATCTTCGAGTCGCACTTTCGGCAGATTGTGGCCTCGGGCTACTACCTCGAAGACGGATATTCTGAGGACGTGGACGCGGTGCTGAATGGCGTCCTTGGCCAGCACACAGCACATTCCGTGCTGGCGGGCCTGGTCGAGAAGAACCGATGGCTAGAGCCGGAGTTGGGCCCGTTGATTCGGACCTCACGGTATGATCTAGCCGCCTTCACAGGTGTGCCCACGAGCCAAGACTACCAAACGGTACATATCTTGATCTCTGATTCCACCTTGTGCTTGGTTAGCGGTTCGAAACGCAAACCCCAGAGGTTCGATCTGGCCGATCACTTTCAGGCCTATCGTCCAACTTACTGCAAGCATTTTCATCACGAATGCCTCTGGGGTGCAGAGTTGCCATTGTTGCTGAAACGAGCCCGTATTGCCGTGAGGAGCCTCAAGCGCCAGTTTCCAGGCTGCATGCTGCTGGTTGGCGTAGTATGGGCTGGCAACGAGCTCATTGGCAAGAAAGGAATTGAAGCCCAGACTTCATGGCCCTTCGATCATCCTGACGGCGATCACTACATGGAGCTACAGGAGAAGGCGCAAGAAGAACTGGTCGGGTTTGCCGCCGATATGTTTCGATACGGTGTGCACTCGGCCGCTCTCATCAGCGCGCCCGATCCTGAGACCTACAACTTCACGCGGCAGGGACCCTACAGCGACTGGTACAACCGGCTGAGTCAATGGTTCCAAGATGAGGTGTATGGTTCTCAGATCGGCAAGTGTCGCTTCCGCCTAGTCAACATCAACGTCCTCAACATCCGCATGGACTTGCGTGACCAATGGCATTGCGAAAAATCGGACGAGAATGCAAATCATATGTTCTCATTTTGTCAGAGTGTATTCCACCTGCTCATGAGACTCTACGTTCTCGGAGATATCGCATTGGAAGTAGCTGCCACCAGTCCGATGAACCGTCCGCTCGGTGGACTTGAGCTTCGTGATGATCGCCTCCCTCCACATCAGCGATACGAAGAGCTACTCCGAAACCTTGCCGATGTCCGCCACAAAAGGGCAATCGCCGCAGCCGAGCTCACTGCTCGCGCCCTTACCAAGAAGGACGTCGCTGCGGAGCAGCCAAACCGTGCTGCACCGATTACCGAGGCAGACATGGCCGTCATCGATGATGAGCCCGAAGGGGAGGAAGATGATCCAGACCTTTCGGAGATTTTCGTCGCAAATGACGCCACGGCAGAAAAGATCCTCCAGCAACGCCTTGATGTCATGGAGGAAGAGCAGGAGAAGATTGCTGCAGAGCTGGACATCAACCGAGAAACCTATGAGGGTCGGCTCCAGACGCTTGAGGAACTCAGCCATCGCGTCGAAACTGGTGAGAACCCAGCGGCATGGCTCGACATCGATGCCATTGATGATGAGGAGGTATCGCCATACGAGGAGGTCGTGCCAGAAGAGCATGAGGAAGAAAGCGAACCTCATGGCGAGGAAGGCTCGGCCGCCATCACTGGCGAGCCCGAGCCTGAGGCACCCTCATCGCCGCCGGCAGCTGATGCTGATGAAGGCCACGTGGTGTGCCCTCAGTATCTTGCAGACCAGTACCACGAGTACACGTACAAGATGGCCGAGGTCGATGGCGCCTTCCAGCAAGTGGTCCAGCTTGGCGACAAGCAATTGCCGCTCCACTTTGCGAGCGGATGGGAGCTCAATGGCGGGCACCTTTTCTTCGCGAAACCCCTCAAGGATTGGCTCACCCAGTTATCCAAAGTTGTTCGACAACATGACCAATATCTGGGCCTTGAGGTTGACGAAGATGGCTACGCAGACTTGGACGAAGTAGCCAGGTGTTTCGGCCTGAATCACCGCAGTGCCCCGCCGCTCACTGTCAAAGACTTGATCGCCATAGCAGCAAAGGACAAGAAAAACCGATTTGAGTTTTTGGGCATTCGAGAAGGGCACAGACTCGAGGAGAAGGGCGTGGCACTATGGCCTCTGAAAATGCGTGCCGCTGCTGGCCAAAGCAAGCGCGCGATCAAGAGCGCACAGGACAACTACAGATCGGCAGCCCTGATGTACTGCAGTCCTGCGCTCAGGCCAGAAGCCAAAGCTCCCTTCATTGGGAAGCCCATCGCCAAAGCGGATGAGATCCCTGTCTTGGCCTACCACCGCACGAGGCCAGCGTGCTGGAAGCGGATTGTCAAGGAGGGCCTTATCCCAGGCGGGGGCGAGTTTGTTGGCAGCGATCGAGCCCATGTCTACCTGGCTGCAAGTCGCATCACGGAGACCGACTATCAAAGCGGTCTCCGCGGCAAGCACCCTATTCAGCTTACCGTTGCACTTCGGGAAGCAGTCGATGGCGGTCTCATCTTTTTCCAGAACCGCTCCGGTGGAATCATGACGGTTGACACGGTACCTCCAGAATACATTGTCTCCGTCGAAAACACCGAAAGCCAGTCCACACTCTGGACCAGGGTAAGCGCCGTTGGCCTACCCGAGGCTGCTCCAGCGGATGGAGGTGAGAGCCGGGCCGCCATCACTGGCGAGCCCCGGCCAACCGCAAAAGCAATGCCTGTTTCCCTGACTGCAACCAGCAAATCGGCACCTGCAAGCAAGGCTGCACCTTCAACTCCACCTACTTCCATCGTGAATGTGGCAGAGCAAGAGCAACCTGCAGCATCTTACAGCGGGTACGCTCCGCCTGAGCCAGCGGGGCCTCCACCTGGCTTTGATGCGCCGATCACCGCCCCAACACTTCGAAAGGGACGCAAGTTGACGGTGATCCAGGTCGAATGCAGCCAATGCAAGGGTCTAGTCCTCAGGGGCATGACCCACTGTGACATTTGTTCAGCCGAACTTGCCACCAACACTGAGCTGCCGGAGGAAGCTGTTACCAGACTTTCAGTTCTCCGAAAGCAGCAGCTTGCGAGGGCCGGCCTCGCTCGCACTGAGTGCCCAGTCAGCGACTACATCAAGGCTGGCCTCAACCTGCGTGTGGTGTCTGCAAGCGGCCGTGGAAACATGAGCCCAGAAGCGATCATGATCCAAGACGCTCGCAGCCGGATGAAGCGTGCAGACAAGTGTGGCTTCCAGAGCATCGAGGATCGCTTCGAGCATGACGTCCAGTTCATGGAACGAATGCTGCAAATGGGCTATGACCATCGGGCAGCGCAGCGGCAGGATTGGCTTTGCCATGCTCACTTGGCGAACCCGCCGCGCAACAAAGCGCAAGTCAGCCTGGGCCTTGGATATGACGAAGATCATTCTCTGGCACGGCTGGTCTACATCGACGTAGCGCCCGATCGCTATCCACAAGCCATGGATTACATTCCTGAGCAATGGTGCGTGATCTATCGCACAAACATCCTCTCCTTGCGTGAGTACATCGAGTACCTCAACTCACCCGACTCCCATCGCGGCCTTTTGGCTTGGGACGGTGTGCATCAGATGAGCCAATACTGCGCAATGGAGGAGCTTCGCCAGCTATGCCACGACAACCTCTCCGCTGCCAGGCGTGATGTGGTCAACAAGCAGACTCAAGAGCAGCGCCAGCAGCAGAGTAAGGGCAAGCGCAAGTCCTCTACCGGAGGTGATGGAACTCCAGCTTCAAAGGCAAAGGGAGGTCCGCCACCTTCACCGGTGAGCCCACGTGCATCCGGATCAGCATCGTCCTCGTGGGGATGGAGCTCATGGAACTGGAGCGAGTGGGGCGAGCAGCGGCAGTGGGGCCGCCGCTCGTGGGACTGGAGCTCGAGTCGGAGCCAGTGGCATTGGCGTTAGTTGAGCCAAGTCTCAACCCTTTTGCCTGAGCGAGCATAATTCATTGCATGACATCCATTGTCAATATGTATGCGGTTTTCCTCCCAAGTCCAAACTTTCAATTTCTTTTGGCGGCGGGGAGTGAATAATTAAAATGCACGTACAGGGCCACGAAGGCAGTGGATTGCTAGCATCCACAACTGCCATGCAGCTTTGAGCCGACATCACTGTCGTGCCCTGCACAAGCCCTCGTGCACTTTCCGCGTCCAGCTTCGGGAGCAAAGCTACCTTAGCTGAGGGGGGTGTATTTTCACTCCATGTAATATGTACACTTTGTACCTTGCACATAGTAGGATGTCATGTCACCTTGACTTTGCAGCTCGCGGCCCAAAACAGGAGTTGCAGCTTAACGGCTGTTTCTATACATTCAATGGGGCTGTTCCTCCAAATGATTTGGCCTTCTTTGCGGTATCGTTTAGGTTCAAAAAACATTTGCTTCGGATGACAACGCCCACTGTTGATTGGATGATCTAAGAATACCTTGAGCTACATCCCAGACTGGATTGAGAAGAACCTGCGGGTAACGGCGCCACAAATTAAGAACAAAGAAAACACAAGATGACATTATGAACACTCGGGCTGACTAGTGGTGTTGTTGAACTGCAAACATCCCTCACGCTGTGACCCGTTCCACGCTTTCAGCCACGCAGCAAATGATTGCCCCCCTTCACAGCCCAGAGTGGTCCTCACGAGGCAAAACAATTTCTGACATGGCGCAAACCCTCTTCTTAATTTTCAACAGAATATGAAGAACATGCATGCATCAAGATCTTTGAACCCAACCACACAAATGATACATGGGCTGAATCTCCAACAAGGCTTGGTGGTTAAAACGAACCCCGTCTATCAGTGTTTGCATCCCAATCACATTACCACGCTTCTTTCGACAAATTCAGAATTTGGCATTTTGTCGCTATTAGGTTGGAGGTCATCGCTAGTATGTTGGAGGCCCTTGCTAGTGGGTTGGAGGCCATCCATTGCTAGTAGGTTCAAGGCCATTGATAGTAGGCTGGAGGCATCGCGCATAGGTTGGAGGCCATTGCTAGTAGGTTGGCGGCCATCGCTCTTAGGTTGGAGGCCATTGCTGTTAGGTTGGAGGCCATCGCTCTTGGGTTAGAGACCATTGCTACTAGGTTGGAGGCCATGGCTCTTAGGTTGGAGGCCATCGCTACTAGGTTGCTGGCCATTGCTAGTAGGTTGGAGGCCGTCGCTCTTGGGTTGTAGCCATCGCTATTAGGTTGGAGGCCATCGCTAGTAGGTTGGAAGCCATTGCTATTAGGTTGGAGGCCATTGCTATTAGGTTGGAGGCCATTGCTATTAGGTTGGAGGCCGTCGCTCTTAGCTTGGAGGCCATTGCTAATTATTCGGTTAGAGGCCATCGCTAGTAGGTTGGAGGCCATTGCTATTAGGTTGGAGGCCGTCGCTCTTAGGTTGGAGGCCATTGCTAATTATTCGGTTAGAGGCCATCGCTAG